AAAAATAATTAAGTAAATGTGCACAGTTATATCTTCAATTAAAAATTTTTAAAAGATAATAAATTGTATAAATAAAAAAAATACTACTATATACTTATTTAATAAATTATTTTTTATCAAGTTGTGTCTTTGTTCGAAATAGCCACCGAATAGCTAACAATGTAAAACATGGAATTATGTTTTGTTAGTTAAGGGCAAGGAATAGATAAAGGATAATGATGGTTAGTTCAACACACTACACAATACGTTTTGGTTTATTTACTAAAAAACTAATATTTTTAAATTTAAATTTAAAGTGAAAAAATTTTTAAAGATAAATTTTAATGATTGAATCAAAAAGTGTTTTTAAATATATTAAATTGAAAAGTATACTAATCATTTTTCATAGATAAATTAACTCGCAGCAGCAGCTGCAGTTTCCATGGAAATGCATCCACGCGCCTTGGCCACGGTTGGACCTGCTGGATGTTATCTGATTTTGTAGTATTTTGACTATTTTCCCTTTTCCCAAATTCTCAGGGTTTTTCCATTGCTTAAAAAAAAAAAAAAAAAATTCCCCTGTTTTCTGGGAGAGGGGAGTCTCTCCCTTCCCCCAAATTCCCCTGTATATCCTAATCCCATGCGTAGGTAGGCACCATTTAGCAAGCTTATCCATACCATACCATTTCGTACGGATGGTACAGCAGGTACGTATTAATTTTGAGTTTGAGGGAAATGATAAAAGGTTAAATTTAGTTTTGATTAAATATCAAATATTTTAGTTCAATCTTAGTATATTGACTGGTATTTTGATGTACCGGTCAATACACTAAAATGTTACGAGTATTAATTTTTTAATCTAATTTTTTTGAAAAATAAAATAAAAAATATCACTTATTAAATGATGTTGTGAGAATATATCTATCTTTTAGAAAAATACATTTATCTTTTTGTCAACAGAATATCTCTATCTTTCAATATATATAAATAAATCATAAGTCAGATTTCAAATTATTTTTTATTTGATCAATTGGATCAAATGATTATTTAATATTTAGATTTAAACTTAAAAAAATATGTTACAAATCTAAATAAATGTTTAATTTTTTTAATTGGGTTGAGTTTATACTCAAATAAATGTATGAATCTTTATAATAAATGTATAATATGTTGATGTATTGTTTTCCTTTAATATTTTAATATTAACATTTCATGAATTTTATCATTTTAAATATGTTTTTAATTTCTAAAAAATTAATTTTTTGAGTAATAATTTTTTATATTCATTAAATATCATTTCATAGTTATATATTTATAATAGTAAACTCAAAATAATACACAAAATTTTGATATTTGGTACATACTATTTCAATGACAAAATTGGTATGCATACTTGTATGACATTGGCAACATTGCCATTTAGATCTTTCAATCAAAAAGTTGGGAATGTCAATATAGCACGTATTTAGCAATGTTCTATGGAGTTTATATTGCATTAGATTTCTGAACATGGTTTTTTTCTTTATGTAAAATATTTTAATTAATATTTATTAATATAGGATTTTTTTTTATCAACTAAAGTAAATAAAGTAAAATTAAAGGGAGTAATTACTTAATATTATGTTCTTCTAAAGCAAAAGCACTTTCCCACGGATTGGTGCACCAGTCCTGAAATATAAAAAGGCAACTCGTAGCTTTGATTTTAAACCGAAAGAAAGTAATTA